TTTATGTTTGTATATATCGAATTTTATTACAATGGCTTTTTTTTCCAAGTTTATTGAAATTTGTGAGAAAAAAAAACAGCTATAAAATTTCTTCCGCTAGTTTGTGTTTTCGAATTAATTTTTGGTTTAATGGCAGGGGTTCGCACTTTAACCATTTAAGGTCTCAACCAGGGGTGATTGTGAGCCCAATTCAAAAATCCTGAAAATTTCTAGAGTAAAATCATTAATGATCCCATTTCAAAAAATGTATGTCTTTATAAATTTAAATAATTTAAATTTTCAAAACATGAAACTCTAAATAAATTAAATGCAGTATAATTTAAATGAATAATTATGCATGAATTAACTTATATCTCTAATGACATTTATTATTCTACCAAAAAAATATTTACAAATGAAAGAGATGCCAAGTATGAATTCTAGTTCGAATATTTTTAAATAAAATATACAAGAATTTTTATACATAAATGAGATCGATGATTTCCGAAACTTCCGGATCACAGTTAGCTAAAAATCCAGAAATCTGGATGTTTTCCAGAGCACAATCATCTCTGTTTAGTATAGCTTCTAGGCTTTGAATTAGGTACTCAGATTTTGGGGAATCAAACATGATTAAAATAATAGTTCCTAATGATAAGATAAATTATTTTTCCAGTCGTGGTGGCTCAGAGGATAGAGCTCTCGCCTCCCAATGTGGTGCCCCGGGTTCGAATCTCAAAGATGGCTGGTCGTAACGAATTCAGCACCAGGCTCACACCGACCACAGAGCTGACGTAAAATATCCTCATTGGTAGACGAATCATGAGTAAGAATCTCCTCACCATAGGGTTAACCGCTGGAGGTTTTTCATGGTTTTCCTCTCCATGTAACGCAAATGTGGGATAGTTCCCTCAAAAAGGAAAATTTCTCAAAATGCTTGATGAAGGAGTTTCCTTGTCTTCTGGATTGAGTTCAAAATTACAAAGGCTACGGAATTAAACATTGATAGTCGTAAACTCAAAATTGGGCCCCCTGTTCAACGAAGGTTATAAAATATTTTTCCACATTTTTTTTTTATCTTTCTTCTCCAGTGTTCCATTTGAACAATGAAAGCCTTTAGAATGAGTTAAGAAAGACAGCTGATTAAATAACGACAGAAAACTGAGAAAACAGGAAAAAGGAGAATTTGTTTGAACAAATGGCATCGAATCACTCAAGTGACAACGCAGTTAAGAACTTCTCGAGGACGGAGTTTTAATGAAGTATTACCCACTTATTCACATAAAATGATGAATACGAGAAAGACAAACTGATTCCGGAAACAGCCGATAACTCCATCATGTATGGAACATTAGAGTTTGTAGAGGGAGTTAGGTTTCTGGTTTGAAACAACAATTTATCAATATCTCCACAGAAACTTGAATTTTAAATCATGGAAGTAAAATGAGATATTTACTTATATGTTGCTCAGCAGAAAGTTATCTCTTAAATACAATAAAAAACATTTAACATAAAAAAAAATAGAAACTTTTATTTTTAGCAATTTTCCTATTTAATGGGTTATTTTATAGCGAATTTCTTCACAATTCGATTATGAACGACGAGTGTCAGGCTGAAGTCATATTCTTGGCTAAAGATTGAGCCACTGAAGAACAGAAACGCGCCCTCTGCCTATAAATATATAATAATAATACTATTATTCAACCTGATATAAGCGGGCGGGAAAACTTAACAGAAGAGTTCATTTTATAGGTGGGGAAACGCGCAAAATATGAGAGTTAAATAAACTCTAGCAATATTTTTACCTTGGCCCAAGTTGGGCTCACAATTGACCCAATATAAGTCCTATATGAATATGCAACCAATTTGGGATGTCTAGATTTTTAATATTAGTCCTATATAGGGCCAATATCAGAATTAAAATCAGAATAGAACCTAAATTGGCAAATCGGGTGTATCTGACAACACTATATAGTCGATATTGGTTGTAAAGTGGTTGTAAAATATCGGGTGAATCGGACAATTCTATATAGGGCCAATATCGGCAAAATAACGGCCCTGCGAACCCTTTTTGAGCCAAGATTCGTGAATAATGGTGAATATCATCGTAAATATTGGTCAATATCATGCATGAATATCATCGTGAATATTGGTGAATATCATGAGAGCCCAAGTTATTTTGCTGCTAGATAGGGAAGAGTCTATATTCATTTTTCCCGATTAGACTTTCTTTGCCTCCCCCACCCTGAATAGCTGAAATAAACTCTACCGGTACGCTTAACTCTCAGTTTATACACGCGATGAGATATCCGTTAGCTCCACTTATTTTGTCAAAATTTCTTCATACAAATTTTCACTATCATTGGCATCAGCAATATTCTTGTTTTATGCTGGCCATTGGTGACCTGTTTGGCAAATTTAAAATACATATATATTGCTTAGAAAATCATTTGCATATATATTGCTGGATTTTTAGGTAAATATGCCGGGTATGTTTCTCATTACTTTGACGATCTCGGCGACTTTTTACATTCATACAGCTTCTACTGTAGAATTGACATTCGAGTTACCGGATAATGAAAAACAATGTTATTACGAAGACATTCAACAAGGAGTAAAATCTACTATTGAATTTCAAGTAAAAGACAAAATATTTTCTTTTTCCAATGTCTACAACTAATTAATGAAAATTTTCAAACTTTTTTGTCTGAGTCGTTTTATAGTTAGAGGCATTTCTTTCATTAGGAAAAAAAAAAGTTTTGTCCTTGTTTTTAATAAAAATACTATAAAGTAAAAACAGATGTAAATTAAACTATGGTCAAGACAACATAACTAATGTAAACCTGAAAATAATCGCTCGCCACGTATCGAGTCATCAAAAAAAGTGATCACTTCAATTAAATAAACAATTTTCTTTTTTCTTCCTTGAAAATCATTAAGGATAAAAGTACATCAATGCAGAAAGACTATGGAAAACAAAATTTTCATTAAAATATTTCATGCCTCCATTCAATATTTTGATCCTTCAGAATCCATCAATTAAAAATCAAAAGATTCATGTTACAGAAGATTCATGTTACCTTAATAATTCACATATTTCAAAATTGTGATGTATAACGTTAAATGAATTTACCCTCCCCGAATATTTTCAAGTATTTCAGTACATTTTACTACATTTTGTCACATATTTATATTATTTTTATAGTTGAATTAACTTTTTATAGCCATAGAGTATTTCTAATAAGACTTTTTTAAAAATACCAAGCTAAAGAAAAGTTTGCAAAAAGTAGCTAGCTATTAAATGAAAAAGACCTATCGATATCGGTCACCGACTCATTTTGTTTAACCCCTTCCTTCTCGCTCCCGTGAAAATGACGGGGCGAGGTTTCGCCTGCTATTTCTCGCTCCCGTGATATTGACAGGCTGGAGTGTTCAGTAGTAACGCAGCAATAAGAATAAAACCAATTCATATCTTTTGCCCGGAAAACATTTTATTTCTCATTTTACACACTAGATGGCAGTAACAGGATATTTTTAAGGTAATTGTAAAAAGATAGTTTATTTTAAAAACTAGATGTTAGAACTAATCAAATACGTAATATAAATACAAAAGCCAAAAAAATAGTCGCTGTAATGAACGTTTTCTTGAAAGCTAACCGATCGTTAAGGAGTTAAGAAAAAAGTGGCTACTAAGTTATTAGTGTCGTCCGGCCACTGGCCCTTAACTGAAATTTTAAATTTTCCGGTCTACCTTACATCAGGGATTAATGATTGGATATTCTACTGCCACATTTAATTTCTATTATCATGTCTTTATTATGATAAAATAGAAAGTTTTTTTATTTTTAATTTTTTAGTGTCTTGCGTACTACAGTCTGGCTTTCGCTAACAACGAATAGACTTAAGGAAGAAAAAAAATCTCCTNAAGGTAGGCGTGTTCACATCACGTCCGAAGGTCACCAATGTGGGGGCGGAGTTATCGACCATGCCAACCGTCATCTATCAAAAGGTACCTCGACATAGAGTCGAGTTAACATGTCTTATATACTAGTGAATTGTAGTTGTAATTTTGTAGTGGTAGATACGCTACACCTCCATTCAATATTTTGATCCTTCAGAATTCATCAATTAAAAATGATAAGATTCATGTTACAGAAGAGTTCCTTAATAATTCACATATTTCAAAATTGTGATGTATAACATTAAATGAATTTACCCTCCCCCTATATATATATATAGTGGTAGTGAATTTCACTCATTTTTTTTTTTTTTTCATTTTAGAATACTTTTTGTTTTATAAAAATAATATGTTCAAGAATTCTTTATTTATACTTCAATATATTCTAACTACAAATATAGGTGCATACATCTAAACTTGCAAGAGGATTTTACCTCCCGACAAAATCGCTTACCGTTTAAGGAATTTTTTTTTCTTTCTTTTTTTATTAAGAATTTAATTCTTTTCTACCATATAACTTTCAGTATGAAAGTGTCTTAAAGCCTGTGAGAATCTTATTAGAAATAGAAATATGACATTTCATCACCACTATTTTTAATTCAGGCGCAGTTCGCACGTCTAAAGTTCATACATTTTTCAGCCTCAGCATGACAGTCTAGAGCACATAAAATTCGTTTCTACACACAGTCTCTAATTGGTTCTGTCATATGCAAGATTTCTGAATCTATTGATGCTGATGATTTTAGGATAAATCCACGCTGAATGAAGTTGATGGTAAAAGAGTCAATCTTATATTAGGTCTTCCCCTTTCCAAGGGCAGTAAATTTATCACACGGCTTGGAACAACTATGACCTTCTACAGGCTGCAGTGCCTTGAAAGAAGAAATTTAGCAAAGCTAAGTTTACTAAGCTACTGGATCAGCTAGATCTTTTGATAAATATGGTACGGCCCTATTTAATTTCATTGGATTTAATAACTTAAATGATTAGTTGTTTACATTTATCATTCATAAGATTACATTAAATTCATCAAACATCATTTGCTTATACGATCACTCCAAAGATGGCTCGAAGAAAGACTTATCTATACGCTAGTATTTTTCTTACAAATGTCAATATTTTGAAGGTTTTGAGCGGTGGCAACTATGATGTTGATGTCCTCCTGGAGTCACCTACAGGAGATGTACTCTATCGTGGATTAAGAAGGCAGTACGACACTTACTATTGGACTGCTGATCTAACGGGGGAACACAAACTTTGTTTCAGCAATGAGTTTTCTACATTAACTCATAAAGTTGTATATTTTGATTTCATTGTGGGAGAAGATGAGAAACCTCTCCCTCACCTTGATCATCATTTAGAACAAGTAACTGAATTGACGGAAAAGGTGAGTCTTAATTTAATTGAAAGTAGCTTTTCAAAAATTACGTTTTTTAAGTTAAAAAAAACCTCGATTTTTGTGAGATAAAATTTCTCGTCTATGTCATAATAAATGTTTACCGGGTGTCCTCCAAAGGATTGACCTGATTTCAGAACTAAAATTCGCGGAAGCAAAGGTCAATAGAGGAATGAGAGCCATGATGACTCAGGGAATTGAGATTTCGTCTTCCAATGAGATGAAACGGGTTCGAATCCCTGGATACGATAAGAAAATATGGCTTGCAATGCTGACGTAAAATATCCTCAGCGGTAGACGGATCACGGTTTAGAGTCCCCTTGCCACCAGGTCAACCGTGGAAGGTTTTTGCGGTTTCTCTCGCCATGTAACGAAAGTGAGGGTTAGTGCCATTTGTAAAGTGGCTGNACTTACTATTGGACTGCTGATCTAACGGGGGAACACAAACTCTGTTTCAGCAATGAGTTTTCTACATTAACTCATAAAGTTGTATATTTTGATTTCATTGTGGGAGAAGATGAGAAACCTCTCCCTCACATTGATCATCATTTGGAACAAGTAACTGAATTGACGGAAAAGGTGAGTCTTAATTTAATTGAAAGTAGCTTATCAAAAATTACGTTTTTTAAGTTAAAAAAAAACTCGATTTTTGTGAGATAAAATTTCTCGTCTATGTCATAATAAATGTCTACCGGGTGTCCTCCAAAGGATTGACCTGATTTCAAAACTAAAATTCGCGGAAGCAAAGGTCAATAGAGGAATGAGAGCCATGATGGCTCGGGGAATTGAGATTTCGTCTTCCAATGAGGTGAAACGGGTTCGAATCCCTGGATACGATAAGAAAATATGGCTTGCATCGACCGCAATGCTGACATTAAATATCCTCAGATAAAATGATCACGGTTTAGAGTCCCCTTGCCGCCAGGTCAACCGTGGAAGGTTTTTGCGGTTTCTCTCTCCATGTAACGAAAGTGAGGGTTAGTTCCATCAAAAAGTCCCCGACAAAGACAAGTTTCACCCAGGCAAGAAAATAATATATTATATATATATTATTTTCTTAGACCAAATGAAATAGGTTTGATGTGCATCATAACGTTTACCTCATGTAAAATTTTAAATCTGTAAGCTTTGCCGTTTACTCGTATCGTTCGGACATAGGCATTTTATTTTATTATATACATAGTCTAAATTTCGCATGGGGCTCTTAGCCGAGAGATCCTTCTGCCTAGATTAAAATTTTAATTTCATTCTTTATTCAAGCTTGTACGCTACTGATGCATTAAATTTTAACAATAGTTTAGTTTTTATCAAAAAGGTTAGTTTTAAGCTTTTATCAATTCCCATCAAATTAATAAAGAGGCAGAAAAAATATCTACATTGTAATCGCCCAAGCAAAAATCTAACACAACACTCACACCGGTGTGCTAAGTACGGGTTGTACTGTTTGTATCAAGTGTACGTAGCCCGCAATGCTCCAGTCAGATTTTCAATCTTTGGGGGCTTATCAGACAAATTTACGATCTGATTGGTGCAGCAACAAGACGCGTGATGCGCACGCACAAACTTTACTGTGTAGATTTGTGAAACTTATATTTAAATGAAAGTAATACAGCTGAAGCCTCTCTTAATCGGGCCTTGATTATATGTAACAGACTGTGGTTCTGGCAATAACTTGTTTCTCATTTCAGTTGGGAAACTCGTCAATCAACGTACACGAATCTCTTAATGCCATTATAGCCTACCAAACGCACCATCGCCTCATGGAGACACTGAGTAGAAAGCGGGTAGGAGATCTGAATGCGTGTGTCAGCTATTGGTCCATGATGGAAACCATCATTATTCTTTTTATTGGCATCGGGCAAATTATTGTTCTCAGAAACTTTTTCAATGAGAAAACATGATTATCGTTAATAATACTATTTGAAAAAAAGTATTTTAAATGTAGAAAAATGTCACCAACTTTAATATGTGAGAAAATATGCCGTTCCTCCTGTTTTGTATGCTTTAAAATAGCATTAAAAAGTTTACAGAGTTCAAGAGTTTTCATGCTTAGTGTAATCTTTGGTGGTATATTTTTTTATAGCAGTAAAACAACCGAACAGAATTAGGTTATTCTTCTAAACAAACAAGCAATCCTGTTATTTCAATCCCCAAGAACTAAATGAAATTAATATAACTTGAGGAAATTTATACTTAAATAAAATACTATTGTAATGAAATAAAAGAAAAGAATGAAAAATGTTTAATATTATACTAAGAGTATGGTTAATACAAAGAGCTGTTATTAATTTCCTAGACTGATCTAAACTCCTGATAATATTTTGTGAATTATAAAACTAATTAAAAAGCACATGATGTATTACATTTCTATACTCGGGTGTAAAAAAATCAAAAACATTTAAAGTTCGAAATGCTTTTTAATTCTGACGTTGGAGATTCCTTATTGATTTCAACTTTCTTACACCTTGTTCCTACAACGAATTTGGATGATGCGGAGAAGAATTATTCACGTATTCTTGTTATTTTGAAAAAAAATCTCTTAAGAAAACTTTGTTTTAGCAATAGTAGAAAAATTGCAATATTTATGAATGTCAGAATTGAAGAACATTCCGAAGCAGAACTTTAAATGCTGTTTGTAAAATTTTGACGTCGGAAAACTGCAATGGTGGAAGTTACTTACAGATCATAATATTTTCAGGAGTCAGTCTTCAAAATTAATAGCTACAACGTATACAATAGCACCTAAATTATCTGACGTCAAAGAGATCTAACATACTTTTGGACAATCGAAATATTAGGATTATCGGGCTCCATTAATTGAATCTCGAACCATAGCCATTGGAAATGTAAAATAAATAAAAACATAATGTATGTGAGTTGAATGCTAAATTTCTAACCCATAACTGGAAATGTCATCGTAAGGGGCACTTCCCTCTTTTTTGAATGATGAACTTTTTTGAATAATTATTGAATGAATATCGATTGAATTATTATTGTCGAAAATTCATTTAAATTACTTCAGTGTTAGACCTTTAATTAGATTTTAAAGATTTGGCGAGTTTGTCAAAGTAATCGCGAAGTCTTTAAACTATGATTATAAATCTTTTACCGAACCAATTTAAATGCCAATTTTAACAATAATCACTAGAAAACATGAAATTAAAGTAATTTGATAAATGAAAGTTACTATTCATAAACACACCAAAAAAAAAGAATGCATAATAGGGAAGCGCCCTTACAGGCGTACGATGTCATTTCCAGCCATGAGTTCTCATGCAATTCTTAATCCTCATGATGTGCCCTACCTTCTCCAGGTTTGCTCTCTTTCTCCGCCATATTGTGTGTATATATATACACACATACACAAATAATAAAATAAAGTAATAAAAATAATATAAAGAGAAAGCTATAACAAGGGGAAAATCCAAAGTCTTCCTCAAGACACATCTACTGGAATAATTAATGCGATATTTCTGAATAAAGAATAATTATCCTAAGATATAAATTATTCTTTATATGTGTCGATATCGCAAAAAATATTTGTTGAAAAAGAGCATGAAAATTAAAAAAGAAAGCAGTAATCAAAATTACCGGCGTGTTGCAAAAAGCGGTTTAGGTTTAAATGTAGAATAATTAAACAATTAGCAAAATTCGCGAAGAGGTAAAATATTTGAAGTTGTGCTCACAGCTTGAATCGAATAATATAAAATTAAAAAATATATTTGGTAGATGAAAATATTAAGCAAGTAATATATTAGGGCTGCCATCTATGAGAAAACCAGAAAAAAGTTAAAAGCCCCTAGCGCAAATTGATTAATGGTTTATTGGGGCGACCATTCATGTCTTTTTTAATTAAAATCACACTTTTTTCTAAAAATATAACCCCTTCATATTTTACAGCGCACCCTACATTTCAGAGTGAAATTACTTCGTAAGGGTTTTGAATTTTTAAGAGAAAATAACAACAAGTCTTTTTTTTAAATTAAACTTTTTTAATCGACTTATTCAATAATAAATGTTAAGTATTTCAAAGATTTTATTAAAACAATTCAAGATTTTTCAAAAACTAGCAGAAAGAGAAATGTCTTTCTTCAAGATCTATTCCAAATGGAGCCGAAGGAAGCATACGATCTATTAAATCTAACTTCTTATGCTCATCTTTTTTAATAACAGGAATGTCTTGACAAGTGTGCAAACGGTCCAAAAATGTTCTTGCTGCTTTTGACGAACTTTTTAACCAGTCCGGTTGGATGTTATCAAACAACAGCAATTCAATATGTCGGCCCATTTCCAGGGAGTGTTGGGGGGAAATCGAGTCAACTTGACGCTTTTCTTGTAAATTATCCCCCAACTGAAATGATCTGGCAGAGTTCAAGTTTTTCATTTGCAGTCGGATCAGGTAATGACTACATACGTGCGCTGCAAGAGTTACAAGATCTGCTTGATTATTACACGTTCCTATATGTGCAGCCATTGTCCAAGTGCAGATCAAAATACCGTCTGTAAGGCAAGCGCCACGTAAGCTACTCAAAGGTCCAAACTGCATGACAGAATAAATTTTCATACTATTAATTTCTTTACGTAACTCTGTATCACATAGGCTGTTAGGTGCCAGCAGCCTATTCAAGCCAGTTCTAAAAGCAGATAACATGGGTGGGCTAAGCAAAGAATTCAGTATAAATTCCTTGCTATCTGCAGGCATCGTGATAACAGCATTTTCAGCTTTAGGGTTTTCTTTTGCATAACAAATAAACGATGATATTTCCTGCGAGTAAAATTCTGCCTTGGTCATCTTCTCTTCAGATGTAGATCTCAAATCGAAGAAGGCTGAATATCTTTTGTAGAGTTGTTCAACATCCATTGTAGTGTAGTGCAACAGGATCTGTAGATTAATTTTCTGGGTGAGGTCTGTGAAATCTTGACTCAAGTAATCAATCAGAGAGCTTGTTGTGCTGGGTTTTATGGGTAAATCTTGCTGACACACGTTAAAAAGGATGGAGTTGCGCAACGTGTTCAAATCAAACTCCCGCATTGGAACATTCAAACCATGGGGAGGAGTCTTTGGTTCATGCATCTTCCAAAATTCCTGCAGGTCAAAATTCTCCCCTCGATCGATGGAAATCACATCTTGAAACAAACTCATTTTGAATATTGGAACTGAAAGAGAAATGAAAAAAAAAAAATTATCATAAACTATCCCAGGCTCTATGAAGATGGCAGTGGCATGTTAGACTTATAAAGATAATGATTTCCATCATTAGATGCGTTAATATAAGTTTATTTTTATAATCATTAGGAATTGAAATTCGTTTTAAATTTTTCATCCAGATCTTCATTCAAATCAGGTTCATTTATTAATTCCACGTTCGTTGCAATTAATGTTTTACTCTTATCCTTTAATGCTACGCCTGAAACAGTAACTTTTTCTTCTTTTAGTTTTTGTGCTTTCCACGAATTGTTTTAAAAATCCCTTGTAATTTTTAAATTAAAAGAAAAAACTTACATTTAAATAAAAAGTAATACTTAAAATTCCCTGTCATTATACTTCTTTTGCTAGTGCATTAAGTTCATCTCGCTCTTTATGATATGCTTCTAGTAATTTTGATGTCTTTATATTTTTAATTCTTTAATACTGAGATAGACAACATAATATTTTTACAATCTGATTCACACATTTTGGAAAATATACAACTAACATTCGCTCTAAACTAAATTTTCTGTTCTAACATAAGTTTCAAAGTGTCCAATTTCTCAACCAATTTATTAATTATATATATTTTGCTGTTTTAGAAGTAAGTTTGATTGTTATTGAATGATAAAATATTAACCATATTAACTGTATTCAAATCATGAAGACCGAAAGAGAAGTACCGTGCTGAAAGTATTTTTTACCAAGTAACGGGAACTAAAATGCAGCTTAATGCAATGTCCATTAAAAATACGTAAACTCGAGAACAAATGGAAACAAACTGGAACAAAAAGATAATAAACAAGAATAAATATTAAAAAATCTGAAAGATTAAGAGCTAAGACACTCTAAAATATTTAATACAAATTAATAATGAAACAAAAAGAAGACAAAGTGACGATAAGAAAGTTCAGAAAGCAATTAATAAACCTAATTTTAAATCAAGGAACTATATTCAGTGAATATTTAGTAACTGTACATAATTATAAAACAACTGTAGAAATTGGATAAACCAATTTATATTGGTCAAGCAGTACTTGATTTAAGCAAGACCCTAATGTATGATTTCTAATATGTTTTAAAAAATGAATTCAAAGATAATATAAAATTACTTTACATCGACACTGAAGCATACATATTTGAACTAAAAAATCATAATTACTATGAATTTATAAAAAACCATTCTGATTTATTCGATACAAGTGGTTATCCTAAATATAACCCACTTTACTCAGCTAAAAATAAAAAGGTTATTGGAAAAATGAAAGATGAATTGAATGGTGATAACATACGGGAATTTATCGGTTTAAGAAGTAAAATGTATGCTTATAGAACTGAAAATAAATCAAATAAACGATTGAGAGGAATTAAAAAAGCTGCATTAAAAAAAGAAATTCATTTTGAAGACTATAAAAAAACACTCTTTGAGTGTAAGGAGTATTTTCATAAACAGAAAGTAATCAGGAGTCATAAGCATGTTATCTACACTGAAGAATTAAATAAAAAGTAGCTAAGTGGGAAGGATGATAAACGACACCTAATACCCAATTCAACTGAAACACTAGCTCATGGTCACATATGCAATGTATGAGTTAACTCTACCATACAGTGCTAAGACCCTAAGTATCTACGAGTCCTAAATAAACTTAGGTAATATACCTTGTTTTTTATTAATATTTCTTTATCTATTAATCTGCTTCAAATAGCAGGCCTACTTTTTAACTGGGCTATGTTATTTATTGTATGTCCCCGACCCGCCCATCTATGGGCATACGGGAGAAGCATTAAA